AATATTAGACTATAGTATCAAAATAATTATTATTTATAGCATACATGTATGTATATTTAATTTAATAGTACGTATAATTTTATAACAGAATGTGGAAAGGCCAAGTAACATCTGATTTTGCTGATGAGTTTAGAAAAATCTAGCGAATAAGTAATCTCTTTCTTTATCAATCTTTTTGCTGTAGATCCCTTTTATCAACCTTTTTATACCTAACTTCTGTTTACTTAATTTTAAATCTATCAAGGGTCCTTCATTCTGCAGAAATAAGGATCAAAAAGCCATCAGGAGACAAAATTCTAATAGTCAACTTGGGTTCACTTTTCTCTTCTTATTTTCTGATCCTGCCAGACATTCACCTACATGTACATTTAATTCTGCAGTTGTATTGTATTCTCCTTCATTTCTTGAAGTTGTTCAAACAACCAACTTTAAGCTCAAAAATCAAAGTCATCAGGGTCTAATAAAACAGACCACCCAGGTCTGAAAAAGACAGCAACAATAGCATACCTTTTTCTCTGAGCTGATGTTTTAATGCCAATGGTGGCTGACCTGGGAGAGAAATAAATTATTTAAACAAAATTACTGCAGCATTTTAAGTTCTCAATGACACCTTTTTTAAAATCTGATAAATTATTTTCCATGTAGATGTAGAAGGAACATAATTTTAATCTTGTTTTCCTAAATCATAATTAAGTGGTATTTTCTGGAAATTCTCAGTTGTATCCACTCAAAAATGTTTTTAACGTTTTTTATCATATATATCATTATCCAAACCAGTCACACTAAATTTCAGGTAATTCTGTACCAGAAATAATCATTCACTGACTTTAATAATATCCTTCCAGATTGTTACCCAAGCTAGATGCATCCTGAATTCAAGTTTCTAACCAACTTTATGTTGTTTGTAATCATATGTATTTTTAACAGTATGGACTTATCACCTTTTCAACTGACTCTTTAAAAGGATGTTGTGATCTGATACTACCAGTACATTGTAAATTTAGTCAGGAATCTGCTAAAATTAAATAATAATTACAGAAGTTACCAAATTAAGATTCATTTTAGTGTTTATGTCAGCTGTAGATGTGTCCCTAAAATAGGGGTTTGATATAAACTAACAAGAGGTAGAGAAACTACATGCACATGTATGTACATCTGTAATTTTGGGACCAGGTTTAGTGTCCACTCAAAAGGGACCGTGACCACTTAATAATTAAGAGTATCCACCCAATTGGAGTTCTGATGAAAAGGGTTTGAACACCATATTCCATGCTACCTTCTGTCTGATGTGACCTGTTAGCCATTTCTTGCTCATCCAGAAGAACTTCAATGTGGTCTTTCAACATTTCAATTTCCATCTCTTTTTCAGCTAATATAGCCTCATGATTTTCCTGAGCAACCAACAAATATACAATATTGTTTCACTGATCATCTCTCTATTTCATATAATAATTTGAGGCAAATTTCCAAAGTGTAAACTTGTTAATTTTTTTAATTATTAATTTGTTTCAGTTTGGCTAGTCATACATATATGTACATGTATCACCTTAATTTGTATGAAATAAATTACTTAAGGTGGCAATGAAAATGATCAAAGATGGTAAATAATGTCATTGTGTCTGCTCAACAAAAATAGGTTGAAATATACATATTTTGACTGATCCTTGTCAATGCTTGGTCAATAGAAGTCATTTGATAGTAAACATCTCTGAAAGGTACATCATCAAGCATTTAAGAGACTGTAATTACATACATATAAACCATCTCAATGCCGTCAACATGTCAAAATTTTTCCACTACATAAGCTTTAGGCTACATATTGTATAGTATGGGCAGAATACTGATATCTGATGCACAGGATATCACAGTAAGCTTACTTCAAATTATCTCCACCAATTAAACTAGAATAGCCCATTTCTAAGTTGCCTTTTGCCTCTGTGTCAAAATGAGTCTTTGTGCAAAACCATTCATATGAAAATGTGTCCAGTGACCAACAGTTGCATTTTCATGCAAATAAAACTCATTTTCATATGAAAAGTTTCACATGAGGACTCATTATGAAACAGAGGCACAAGGTAACTCACAAATGGCCTAAGTATTCTTCTCCACTCTTTAAACTCTGCACTAAAAAATAACCTAGAGATGGTACCTTGCATCCTGTTAATTCTGTCCCTGATGCCTCATTGAGAGCCATTTTTAGAGTAGAAATTTCTGTCACTAGCTCTAGTTTCTCATTTAATAAATTGGTCGTCTTCAATATCTCCTACAAAAATTCAACAACAATTTAAATTTTGAGGGTAATTATACCTTAGTAGCCCAATCAATAGAAGCACTGTGTTCTAGCTTACCTTCAAGTAAAACTCCTTTTTATAGATTTACCCTAGTATTCTATTGTATTAAATTGAAAGACCTGGACTGGACTCAGTGTCCATTGAGTATCAGTTAGGTAACACCCTTCTAAAATAGGTACTGGGATCCAGCCAAGATTCCCAGCACTTGCCGGGATCCCACCGGGATCCTGCCAAGGTGGCCCGTTTTCCCAGCGGGATCCTTCCAGGGAAAAATTCCTGCCCTGCATCTCGGCAAGAATCCCGCCAAGAAATCTGTACTTGCCAGGATCCCACCAAGAAAAAAACACTCCGGGTTCCCAGCGAGAATCCTGCTGGGAAGCAAAATCTTGGTAGTATTCCCGGCGAGAACTTAATTCTCACCGAGAAAAAATTCTGGTATAGAAATTCCCGCTGAGAAGTTGCACATTCTCGTGGCTGGGGAGGGTGCATTAAACCTGATCTTGACATTTGACCCTGGAAGCAAGTACCGCTCTAAAACTATCATGAGCCAAATCTAGTTAAAGTAATTAATAGTTATTACGACTCAATCTTACAGTTCTGCATGTCAAAAACGAGCCATGAAGACGAAATCCCACGCGTGTTTTATCTAAAGGATGCCGATTGCATCTGGACAAACTGGAGCTGCAACGACTAGCTGCGTGCTCGTAAATGTGCTTTGTAGTTTATAGAAGAAAGATAAGATCTTTGTTGACTTTTGTGTGTAGCTTCTTTGTTTTGAAATTTCTGCATGGTTTTATTAGAAGTCTATATACAGGATTACCTCTCTGCTCTCAGGATTCCAGTGACCATCACTCAGTGATGACCTTCTGATGGCAAACTATGAATATTGACTGTAGTATTAACGTTGACTCGGCCTTGTAAGATCTTGAAAATTTACTTTGTGACAGCATTCGGCAAATCTCTTTGGTGAACATCTTCCTGCAGGCCACATAAATAGCAAACTTGCCATGGGAATCTTCCCGCCTGGGTCGTTAAGGGCCCATTAACCGATTTATGTGCACACTCACGCGCGTTGCTAAGGAGGCGAAATTTCACTTCTGGTTACTTACGTCAGCGTGAGCGTGGAAAATAAAAACAACTCAATAACTTCCAAATTCGCTTACGTTTTAGATGTTTTTCTTTGTGTTTCACAAAATGCAAAGTAAAAAAAGTACA